AACCATTTTAAATTGTTTTTTTTCCGCAAGTATATTAAAGTTATCCTGTTGTGCAGAAATTGTCTTTTTAAAAGTTATACCCATAGAATCATTTAAAAGGCAAAGCTACCTTTTTCAGAATGAACGTTGAAGGGAAAATATTAAAAATGCCAAGCAGCAATTATAGAAAAAAAAAGAGTTTATTGTGGAATTATTTGCTTACTTTTTAGCTTTGCTTAAGTTCATTTTGCGCACAGCCTGTTTGGTCTCTTTAGGTTTCTGAAATCTGAAAACCACTTTGGAGAAGAGCTACACAATGTCCATCATTCATGCAACAGACTGAGGATTCAGGTCAAATCCTAATTAGCCCAATACTCTTACAGTGGGTTGTACTGATTAGACAAGTAGTAACAGCAGAAGAGTACACAGTGAGTCAGTGTAAATCCATCATTTTAAGGTGGTGTAGCAGTTTACTTGMACACTTTATTTGACATGTAAATAGCATGTAGATTTCCAAAAAAATCAAAGTATTTTAAATGAACATCACATCATCCTCAATTTTTTCCATTTCGAACAATCATGGTGACACTGGTTTGCAGGATTGTTTGCTTCAAAATAAAATACAACAAATAATACATGTATATTCTTATTTTGTAATGAAATTGCAGCACACTTACACTGACAACTCCATTCAAATAGTTGCATTAAACACCTCATGTATTTGACATGTTCTTAAAGGCATCATTGGCTATTCGGAAACAAAATCCCAACGTTTTGTTTAATTTTTTAACATAATTTCTTTATGATTTAGAAAAGTTTTAAAAGGGGACGTCTCAGTTCATGACACACCCTTTAAAACAAAAGGCCAAGAAACAAATGCAATACATTCTTTTTACCAAGCAAAAGGAAATACAGCAAACATACATTGCTTGAAGGCCTTTATGTGGTCATTTTTCTCCACTCAAATGACATCAAAATCCTAATATTGACCAGTGATCTTATCCTATTATGCCACATGAATATTTAAAGAAAAAAAAACATTATTGGCTCTTTTGAGTTCAAAACTTTGCTAACTGGATCATAGAAATTATTTATTTGAGATGTAGAACTAGCGAAGAACAAGTACATTTTTTAGATGAGTCTGTTCAGGCCAACTCTATCCAAACTGCATTAAGAGCTTTCTTAGAGGTATGCTGATGTGTTGCTGAAGTAACGACGTCACACGACCCGCTTTCATGCCTTGGACTGGACGTCAGCCCGTTGTCCCCGTAAACAGGATTATGTCACAAAGACAGCCTTCGTGGTGGGAGTTCAGGTCCTCAAACTGAAGCACCGTGGGGGTCYGCAGGTGGCAGGCTACACCTGGAACTCACCACCAAGGTGTCGGATCTGYGCATCAGTCATGGACAGATAAGTAGTCTTCATACTGGGTGAATACTGCAGAAAAAAATAATAATAACAGAAGTCAGAGCTCTCACAATCAATCCTATAATTATGTGCTGGTTCTCATGCTGAAGGATGCAAAATTAGGAGGGAAAAGTGACAGACGTGAGGAGTTAAAAAGCAGGTAAAAAGAGCAAAAATGAAGGGTCATAAAATAAATTGCACTCACATGCAACACTCAGTGGGAAAAACAGAGCCAGGTGGTCAAAGCTGTGGGACCGTATGGAGCTAAAAGTGTTCTTAAATTTAGGTTGTAGGTTAAAACATTCTGTGTGACAAACAGAACTTTACAAGATAGTTCAAAAAGATATAAAAAAGAAGAAAGTGAACAGGAAACGTGCAGTTATTGGAAGACTAAAACAACAAATGAAAATAAAGTTGGACACACTACTAAGAAACACACACTCACAAAAAAAAAAAAAAAGAAATGCTGATTTACAAAAAAAAGTGAAAACCTCAAACCAAAAGACATAGCACCAAATACAGTATTTATTGCAATATTTTGTTTCAAGAGTTTCCAAGCATCTTTGTCACAGACACACATAAAGAGCAGATGTCTGCGCCTTTTAAAAATGTGCCTCGCAGAGGCAAAGTCCCATTTAAACAGTGATCCAGATTCTCCTGCTTTCTCCCACTCAAAAAAAGGATGTTTCAAGTCTTTGGTGAGCACTGAAGGAAGATGAAGCCACAAAAAAAGCAAACAAAAAAACCAGAAAAATCTTAACAGCAAAAAATAAATAAAAAAATCATCACTCAGCAGAAATGCAGACTCTGTATTTATCAGTCTTCCATTTGTTATCTATTATTTACGCCCAACTCTGGAGATATGAGCCACTACATGCAATAAATGCAACAATTAAAAGTGGATAGCCAGCATTCACTTAAGTTTAAGATAAGATAAAATAAGATAATCCTTTATTTGTCCCACAGGTAGGAAATTTAGGCTGTCACAGCAGGAAGTGGACAGTGCTGAAGTCCTGAAGCACCAATGAGAAGTTATTTWGCACTAAATGATTATTTATTTCTGTAAGATAAACCTTTATTTTGTAAAAAAAAAATAAATAAATCAAAACCACAATCCAAATCAAGATTATAAATGGGTGCACTTTTACAAATGACCAGCAGAGATCAGTCTTTCATCACATCAGTGCACACATTAGTGCAGTTTCTACATGTTGGCTGAGAAAGGTTGTGTGCAGAGTATGTGCGTCGTTATGCTCATGGTGCGTGCTCCCTGTTATCAGGAGTGACATCATCTTAATCACACTAGGGACACTAAAGCTTCATAAGGCCAACGAACCGAGGGAGGCGGTGATCCTCTCCCTATCAGCGGCACATTCTCATAGCGAGGGGCCTCTCCAAACAGCATGGACTGATTCCTGTAACACAAAGAAAAGCTGCWAGAGACTCAAATAAAACACCAGAAATGTGAGGATATCATAGCCGATCGTACATGTATTCAGGGGGTGGTAAGGTAGAAATAGAAGTAGACTGAGGAGGTGGATGAAGGCTGGCCTGGCTGCCGAGGCTGCTGATATAACTGCAGAAGCTGTGGGTGTTGGACCTTCTGGGGTTGTAGGAAAGCCGGCGTACTTCGGGGTTGAATGGGTCRTCCTCGTCTATGTCGTTGTACTCCTTTTCCCTGGATGGGAGTTGTAGATTGCGCAGAGTCAGTAAGGTGGGCAAACAGAGAGGGAACTTTTTTTTTGCAGCAGCAGCAGCAGTACATTACGAGCAGTACATAATGGAGWAAGGGGTTGGCTCGACACTGACCTGCTGCCCATTAATGTCCACAGGCGGAAAATTACACACAGCATGGCAGAGAGAGCACAAGCAACCAGGAGAGAAAACAGAGAGAGGTAGAGGAGCCCTTCCACCCCATCGTAGCACACACCCATTAGGGCATCCAGGTAGTCCTAAAAAAATAAAACAATTTGTCCGCATTTGGAAAAAATAATGCAAACCCTAACCTATCACCATAACTAAAGATGGATCTTTCTGCAGCACGAGTGATGCTAAAAAGAAAACATAAGTTCTGTGAAAGTAGCAGTTTATTTCATGTCCTTATTCATTGATTATCGCCCACCAAAGGCAAAAAATTATGTCTGTTGGTTACCAAATTATTTCATGAATCACCGAACAAATAAGAAATTGTTATATGTACAATGTCTGCTACAACTACTCAGTCTGAGTTTACACAAAAATCTTAGTGAATTTTTACAAGGGATTGAGCTAAAATGAGGCATGGTAGCTGATGTTTAATCAAAACACAACCTGAAACAGATCACGCTTTTCCCAAAATGGCTACACCGTTGTCATTTTTCAACATAAGATGATCTTTGTGCAGAACTCAGAAATGAAAGGTGCATTTCTTCAAGGAGTGCTGGGTCTTTAATGTTAAATGAGACATATCACACAAAATCCACGTTTTTAGCTGCTAACTACATTTTGTTGTGCACTTGGAGTCGAGTGCAGAAAAGTTTAATTTAGTCTCTCCCGGTGCTGCTTAGATAACTTTATATTCTGTTTGGATCATATTTTTCAACACATTCATTTTTCTCTGTTCTTGATTACGTTTTCTGAACAGTTTTTGCGATGGAACGTCTGAATAAGATCTGGACTAATTTAATTTTCTTCGGTCTCCTCTGGCTCTGGGTCAGACTCTGGCTGCACCATGTAAGGCTGGATGGACAAGTCTTCCAATGTTGACGTCTTTTCCTTAATTGTGTAAACAAAAAGTTTCTGTGCAGCTATATAGTCCAATCACATCTATCAAACTGTGGACCGCTCTGAAAGCTGGAGGGGGGCGGGATGTGGGGCACCTTGTTTGGATTTAAAGAGACAGCCTCAAAACGAGTTGAACTGAGACACACCTCAGAAACGGGGTGAAAGAGGGGCTTGTGGAGTTACAATAAGGAAGAATTTAGACCAACACATTGCGGTTCCACTTTATAAAGACCCCAACTGAATGATTTAAAAGTGAAAAAGAAGGATGACACGTCTCCTTTAAATAAACAGTTTAAATCTGATTAATGCAGAGCCGCAAACAACGTTGGAGCATCGTTTGAAACTGGAGAAAAATAAACTGCTTCTTGTGCTCGACGTGGGGACCACAGATACTTGCTGCCTTTCAKTGCAGGGGAAGCAAAGTGATGAGCTCAGACTAATTCTGATGACACGCTTGTTTAGGATGCGTTCTTAGTTTGCTCAGCTTCTTAAGTCTGACAAGCAAGTACTGAAAAACGGCCTTTTTTTGTGACAGGCGTATGTGTTGTCTGCTGCAGAACTTTTGAGAAACACTGAARATGTTACAGCGTTGTCATGACCGATGTGAATAGTATATGTTTTTTTTGGAGAGTTTTCTGTGTACCTACTTAGAGCTGCCACAAACGATTATTTTTATAATCGATTAATCACCGATTATTTTTTCGATTAGTCGACTAATCAGATCATACGTTAATTGAATATAAAACAAACACCTTATCGTGCCAGAATGCAGCTGCTATTGTATAACCATGGTTAGATTTTAGCTATATGCTAACTAAAAATAATTGCTGTGGAAGGCAAGTTCTGCTCTGCAGATATTACACAAGTTTCTCTTTCATTTTCTTAAAATGATCCCACACTTTGAGCTTCGTTGTCAGGTAGCCATGATACCAGAGCCTGTCTGTATAATGTCTTGTAACGTCCACGGCCTACCCCAGTTACCACTACTGTGCATGTGTGTCAAGGACAGAAAGGCAGATGTGGCAGTGGAAGGTGTCAAAGCAGTTTGGAGAGAAAAACAAAGTAAAGAACAAATTAATCGATTATTAAATTAGTCATAGATTATTTTAACAATCGATTAGTCGTCGATTAATCGACAAATCGTGGCAGCCCTATACCTACTCATTCATTAATGTACAATCCAGGACACATCTTCAGTTCTGGTCTAAGCCTGATGTGTGCTAGGACTTTTTTTTTTTTGTCAAAAAACTGGAGGTGGTGAGTAGAGTCTGCTACAGTGTTTTCACAGTGCAGTGGCAGATATGCACACGCGATTGCACGGAAAGGACAAATAAAAGGTCAAAAATCATCCCAAGTGGTTGTCTAAGTGGCTTTGAGCTCCGCTACAAAGAGTTCCTATTAAAACTGTTCCAGTCAGACGCTGACCTTACCTTGTGTATCCCGCGGCAGTCGAGCAGAGCTGTTAGCTGGTGCAGACTGAACTCTGTGGAGTTTAACAGTCGCTGGATCCCTAAAAGGTCTCTCTGCATAACAAGAGGTACAAGGGGAGACGGTGAAGCACAACCTCCCACGGCCCAGTGGACTGGTCAGTCAAACGGCCACTTACCTGAGCAGTGGGGAAAATTGGCGTGGCGAACCGAAGCAAACCCTGGATCTGGATTTGCATGGTGGTCAGTGAGCGCTGACAGACTGTCAGTGACTGTAAAAACATAATCACACACACACACATAGACACATGTCCACAGCAAACAATGAGAGGATCTTTATTAAGTACTGTTTAGGAGGAAAACAGCATGTCAACAAACAATTTGGTTTTAAGTTAGGCTCCATAATGCGCTTATTCTCGGACAAAATTCTTTTTTTTTCTCTCCCCCCTCCAGACAGGCAGATTATCTGTTGCTATCAATCATCTCGCCCACCATGATCCKCTCCCAGTTCCACCAATGATCTCAAGCAGAAACAAAAGAGCAATATTTATATCAACTGGGCCATCAGAGAAAAGGATTATCCTTTCTGAGTAAGCAATCKTCCTTTTAATCCATAAATGGTGCCATGATGACAGCAAAGAATCTGGGTTTTAATAATTACAGGTCATGGATTTATCCTCTAAAATCTATCACAATATGTGTGATGTAGATTCAGATAAATTTACAATTATTCTAAACAGTCATTCAAATGTTTCCTGAGCATTTGCTCCAACTTTCCCTTCTTGCTCAGCAACAAAAGGCAAAGGAGGGCAATGATGTTTATGCCATTATTGGATGTATTAGAACTGATTTAACGTTCAACATGGCTGCAAAGACAACTGATATCAGAAACAAGAAAAGGACTCTTTCAGTCAGTTTTACAGATTGTGTTAAAATTTGGTGTGGTTATAGCTGACAGTCAATAAAAATACTTAAAGTACTCGTTGCTTAAAACTTTTAGCATTATAAGGCAGCAGGAGATATGCATTCCTTCAACAAATTAGTTTGTGCAAAAGCACAGTGAAAGACAACTTTCATGTCCAACAAGTTTATATGACTAAATCTGTCTGCACTGAAAATAATTCACACCTGAACAGCAGCAGTGCTCCAACATGTGAAACAAGCCTGGATGAGATTGTGTGACAGCTGCAGAATTGATGCTATTATTCTTATTATTATTGTTTGGGAGTGATTTCAATTAATTAACATTTTGAACACAAACAATTAGCTTTTCTGACATGAAGGAGCATAAACTTCTTTTAAAGTCATTAAGAAGAGGTGATGAGTGATTGATGTTTCAGTCATTTCTAAGTGTAAAGAACGCAGAGAAAGTCTCAGAGATGTTTCTATTAGGCGTATAAGACATGCATTTTGTTCAGGGTTAAAGGTCTATCAAACATAGACTCAAATATTTAACTACGGAATTTGCTTTTCCTGCAAAAATACAGTGTGAATGCAAAAAGCTGAAAGTTTTTAGCTAAAATAGCCTTAAAGCAGCTTTTAAAAAGTAGCTGACATAGCTGAAATAAGCATAAAAAACAAAAAGAGCATGCTTGCTAAATGAAGCAGTGATAAGCTGAAATTATAACAAAAAGTTGAATTTAGATGAAAAAAGTTCAAAAAGTAGCTAAAACACTGAAAAKAGCTGAAATTTGCAAAGGACAGTTAAAACAATCACGGAAACTTAAAATAGCCAGAAGCACAAAAAATTTGAAATTAGAATAAATAATAAAAATAGCAGAAAAGACCAGAATTATAGCTTAAAGGCAGAAAAATCAGCTAAAATCAGCTAAATAGAAGCAAAAGGAAGCTGAAATTAGAACAAAGGAGTTAAAAAGCATGACGGCTCAGTGGTTAGCACCAATAATGGTAATTAAATAAATAAATAAATAAATAAATAAATAAACCTGATCTAGAGCAAAAGATGAAAAGTACAGTAAATATTTAAAAACATTTTAAAGGGTTTTAACGATGTTGGAAACTTCTCCATTCTTTTTCAATAAGGAAAACATGGCAGAAAAAGCTAAATATCTCAAAAATTATACATCGCTGAAGTACCAAAAGTCATAGCCGGAATATTCTGAAGGAGCCAAATGTTTTGATGTAGTATAAATTGTTGAAATAARGCACAAGTTGTGGAACAAGACATGTGCCAAAAATGTACAGAAGAAAAAGAAATGATCTCAATTGAGTGAATACTTTAAATGCAGTTACCCAATTACCTTCTTCTTAATCAAAGGTAATGAGTTTGAGAAAATGATTTGTTAGTGATTCTTATTTCCATTTAATTCCATTGACAGCGCATAATAAATGGCATGCCTATGACAAAAACAGACTATATTTATATGCTACTCATTTTCCAGTGTGTGATTCATGGTAAGTGCACCAATAAGCAGACAGCTAAGACGTTTAGTCGATACCTGTTGGAATGGGTTTGGTAGATTCGGACTGCAGAACAAATAATAGTGTGCAACATCTGCAAGGTGAGAGAAAAGAGGTTAGCATTGCGTCCCAACGCTCAGCGACAGGGGCTGTGTGTGTGTGTGTGTGTGTGTGTGTGTGCTGCTCTGTCTGCAGAGACAAATTACCTGCGCTGAGGAAATCCTTGGTTTGGTTAACAATAAACTTGTCTGGAGACACACAGAAGTCACTGGTGCCCTGCAGGGAAAACACAACACTTTACAGGTGTGCAAGACCAAAAGAGGCACATCCAAATTTACAACAGTCAACAGATTTTAGACGGAAAAATTATTGCAGCCAGTCCACAATTTATCTGTTTCTAATAATTCATTGTCTTTTAGCATACAAAGATAATACACCAGTTTACCTATGATTGCTGTTAACCCACATTTTCTCAGATAATAGAATAAAATCATTGAATTAGTATAAAAATAAGTCCTAAGGTTGTAACTATTCTACATCTAGAGCGGAGCAATGTTTTGCTAATCATGGAGGAAATCTTTTTTTTCCTGTTTTCTAATTTATTCATAGGCAGCTGCTAATGGACACGCGTGGAGAGTCTGGGGTCAAGTTCATGTAATCTCTCTGCACCCTCACTGCTAAACCCCCCCCCCCCCCCCCAACAAAAGCAGCCATTCAAAACAGAAAATACCCAAATTCATCACAACTTTTTTTTTCTTTTTTTTCATACATGCATGAATAATTCACAGCTGGGAAAAAAATAACCGGTTTTTATTCACGCTGATGTAGTTCAAAGGCAACACGGAAACCTGTAATCATTGGGGATAACATTTTTTTTTCTGTAATCTATTTCAAACACAGCCACCGTTTCATTTGTCAGTCACAATCAAGGCGTGCCTTTTTTCCAACTCGTCGCTGTGAAGGACGACTCGAAAAGGCATGGCAGGGAGCAGAGATGCCTTGATTTTACAAAGCAATGATGCAATGCACAGATAAAGATGCACAGGTGTGCCCCCCCAGCCCCACTAACACACACACACACACACACACACACACACACACACACA